GTTGAGGGCGAGGGCAAGGCGAACCGGAGTGTATGTGCTCCAGGAAAGAGAGCACAAGGAATACTCACGAAGCCGGCCTTTCACCTTGAAACAACACAGCCCGAAATAACCGGGCGTTCTCTATTTTCGGGCAACATCTCGGATGGTCCTCGAGTACGTTTCACTCTAACGCGTCTCTTAGCTGACATTCGCATAGCTACGTGACGTCTGCGTACACACGTAGATACCAAGTGGCGATAAATAACCCCCGTTTACCGATAAGCGCCACGCAAATCGTTGTGTCCTTACTCACGTTCCGATGCAAAACGGTACGAGACACGTTCACGAGTCTGCTACCCGGCTTATCTGCTCTCGCAGCCGATGCTATCATTCGTGACATTTACACGTTCGATCGAATTTTTCACGAACGTTTGTATGAAAAATTTCGCGTTCCTCGTTTCATCGCCAGAAGCTAGAGAAACCTGACGTACTACCTAATATGGAGGGAGAGTGCGCTTCAGGAAAACTTCTCTTCATTTATGTAAACTCGCCTTCTTGATACGTACAAGCTGAACTTTCCTTCCATGATACGAGAGAACTATGCTGCCACGAGAGATACTACAAAGAATAAATGTCGCGATTAGAACGCGGATATTTATGCAAATTCATGGTTTTATTAAGATCCGAAGGAAAAGCTCGGGGACGTCATTTGCAAAATGCGATAGATACGACTTTAGGAACTGGCCTTTCGAACGACGATTCTCTGTTGTTCGTTCGAAGGATTCACCGTGTTATTGTCAGCCACGCTTTTTATTCAGTTCAGCTATCGTTCCTTTACGAAAACGCGTATCGCGTGTTCGGTGATTCTCGGTAATGCAATTGAAGATATAAAATCTAGATAGGAAATCGTTTTTAGCGTTTGTTATAGAGCGTGCTCTATCCTGGTTGTTTTGTACGTCTTTACTCTTTCGCGTGGTTATCTCACTCCGTAAAGTTTCGTTCAGATTGGTCAAGCTATTCGAATTCAATACGTGAAGTATTGTTCGTTTCTCGAGTCCGAATAATTATTTTCGATACAATGAAGAAAATGGACAACTGAAATTTCATCGCGTCGCAAAGTTCCTAGATCGCCATAGCAGGATAGTAATTATCACGGCGAAAACGAAGAATATAAAGCAGAGACCGAGAGGCTGAACAATACGTGCGCCACCGGCATAATTTTCACGATAAGGACCATCACAATGAAACGAATTTACGGATCGTTGGAACTCGGAGGCGCGCGAAATTTTCACGATATTTTTCTCTGTGACGAGGCACCGGTCGACGGCGCCAACTCTTCGATCCATTTCTACCAGACGGAACGAGAGAGAGGAAATAAATTCTGGGTTGTCTTTCGTAAAAGGTATATCGAAGATACTATCGCTAATGCGAAAATCTTTCGATAATAGAATTTGTCGTGGTTTCATCGGATACTGTACCAAGGTAGAAGGTCTCTGTAAGGGATACGCTGATGCTTCTTTTTTCTATTTTACTGATCATCCTTCGAGCCTGTTGCGATCCTCGAACTTGCTCTCATTTTAGCAAACAAAAAATATCTATGCTGTTTTGAGAAGACGCTTAACATAAAACTAGAACGAGAAATCACGCGCATGTCGATAAGAATATTTTCATATCTTGTTCAAATTTCAGATGTTTTTAAAGTTAGAAAATTAGAATTGGCTCGAAGATGACCGAAAACAGGTTTAAGGACGGAATCTCTATATCGAAGAACGTAAACGAACCTCGAATCTTGTTACGATTCGTGCCACGCAAGAATAATCAGCGAGCTTCTTTCCTCTGCAATGACCAAGTCTCAGTGTCTACTTGGAAAATAGCATCAAGAGAATAGATTTAACGAAGGAAAAAAGATTGATTAGGACAATGAACGTGGTTAGCTTCTGGTACGGTCAAAGTCGTTTCGTCGGTTTACCGAAATTTACAAGAGCAGTCGAATTTACGAAACACGCGGTCATGAATAGCAATGAACTTCGTTTTTCCTTTCAATTTTGTATTTCTTTCCATTGCTACATTGCAGTTCTTTTAACGTTGTTTTATTGCCAATACGAAAATATCAGGTGAGTCGAGGCTAAATTATTAGCTTTGGCCAAAATGTGTACGTAAGAAAGTGCAGATAATTGGAATTTTATCTTACGAAACAGTTCGTTACAAAACTACAGGTTTCTAAATAACAGAGAAATAAATGGAATTTATTGGACAGCCAAGTAAAGCCTAAGTAGTATACATATAACTAATATATAAAATCTAAGTGAAACAAAACATAATTTCTGTCGTGTCATAAAAGAAATTTTTAATCTAATGTGTGATACTAACAAATAATTATTTTACTGAACGCTCGTAATGTTCGTTTTTCCCTCTATTAGTGTCATTAAATGATACAATTATACCTAAGCTGTATTTATCCATATTGCCTGAGGCCTGCAGTTTCCCGCTGCGAACTTCTATGTATTTATGGAAAATTTAACGATGCGAAAATGCATAAAGCGCGCATAATATCCAGATGAAATCATTTTCACCACTGATTATATATTTAAATAACAATTGATGCTATTAATATTCTACTAAATATGTTCGCAGCCCGTATTACGATGTTAATGAAATTTTAAAAAGTTTCATATAACGCATGTAATATATTCATGAAACTGCTCGAATACCTTCGCGAGTCGCTATAAGTAACATTTAAAGATATTTTGCAGAAGAAACATATTACAACTGTCCGTCAGAAAAGAACCTTCGGCCAGAAAATATTTTCCTTTTTCCTTCCGAAGAAGATTAACATTCAGTCGATTTGGGACGAGCATGAAAGACAGATAGAGAGAGAGAGAGAGAGAGAGAGAGAGATCTACAGAGAAATTTGGGAAACATAATGGCGTAGGCTGCATTTTACGAAAGACAAACGAAGTTACTTAGAAAATTGGAGGAGAAACCGAGAGATTCGTGGATAATATATTCGATGTAGGATACACGACGGTGCTATTCGTGATGCTTCTTCGTCCAACGAAATGCTGGGATCATAAACAAGGCATGTTGAACACCGAAATCGTACAAAAGCCAAAGACAAAGCGATGTTCCGTAGGAACCCGATGAAAACGCGAGCTTGCACCGATACAGATGCGCGTTGCGTTTAGGTGCAGCTGTTGTACTCAGGTATGGCGAAAAAAGGGAAAAGAACGTCGTTGCCCACATTCTCGTCGCAGTCTACAAATGAAGGCTTTTACGCCTAATACCTCGTTTCTCTTTCCTCTTTTCTCTCACACTCCTTTTCCTTTCTGCATTCTACTTTCCGTTCCTTTTCTCCCAGAAATTGTGACAATACACCTTGCATTTGCACGATCCCTCTCTCTCGTGTTTCGTTCGTTCGCTTCGAAATAGATCGATGATCCTTAAGCCGCGAGAGAAGAGAACCGATGAATGAAAAGATATTCGTATTTCGTGCATCAACTTCTCTAAGCTAATCTGAGCCAGGAAAAGATATATCGCAAGGGGAATAGCATAGGCATACAGTGACTATAAAAAGATATTGGCACGCTATTGTATTCGTTATAGTAATTACATACTAATTAAATAGATTAAGGTATATTGAATTCTGTATCGTTCAATAGTATTTTCGTAAGATTACAAAAATTCGACACTATGATGATGAAATGTAGAAAATAGGGGTATGTACTGTATGTACGTCACGTTTGAATTAATCTACACAAGTACGAGTATTAATATTCAAATATTAATTATTGTATTATTCAGAAAATTTATTTTTACAAGTAACCATTAAACTATTTGATGTCAAATAGCTCTTCGATTTCACGAGATTCGATATACCTACAGAAACGCCTAACAAAGATATCGACCATTGCCGAAATTCGAAATAATCGGAAGGTTTATCTCGGTAAAGAGTAGAGTCCGAATGTTTTGAAAAGACACTGCGTTAAATTGATGTATTCCAAGCAATGACGAACAACGCAAACAAGCGGTCAGCGAAGCACATATTACATAGCTTGGAAACGTCGGATCGGTGAAAAATGAACGCAAACGTTTCAGTACTGTCACGTATTTCCGTGCGATATTGCGCGTAGAATGAAAGACTAAGTCCTGCGAGTAAATAGGGACAATTTAATATTTCCATAGTGGAGAAACTGTGAGAAGAGAAGTCAGTTTTTAAAGCTCCGCGATGTGCCGTATATCTGCTTGTTATTCCTGCATGTTGCTCCTTTCGATCGTATTTCGCATGCGTTTTGCGAGCTACATGCAAATATCGTGCATTCGCGGAACATTATCGTGGCTCGTGCCACGGAATACAAACTTTTCAATTCTATCCGGTGGCCGACGAACGCTTCTAAATAATTTGAGTCTGTCTCGATGGGCAAGCAGAGGGCCTTGGTTCCAATTGCTTCGTACGAATTCCGATTGTGTCACTTCTAAATCTACGTATAGCAGGCGGCCTTGCGATCATTCTTCGATGTCTTCGTTAATCGTAACCCTAGAATCATAGCACGTGCTGGCTATTGGCAATTGCGATCGCAGGAATCGGTAGGACAAAGTCTTTTAGTCTCTTGTCCTCGCTAAACATCGCACGCGTTTACCTTACGTTTAAGGCCACGTGTTTTTAATTTCGAGCTTTGATAATCCAAACACGATCTACCGTTTTCATTGCATGCACATGCCTGCCGTTGATTGTGCAACGAGGGTGCAAATGAACCGTTCTATTCGCGATAAATACGGGCGTAGAGTCCTTGTTATCCGATAAACTGTACACAGTGTTTCGTAATAAGCTCTACATACGATACACACAGGCTATTTGTGTAATTTTTAGTCCGTGTCCTTTCGTTTCGATAAATACGTCGAGTAGCGATAGAATCAAGTTGAGTAAATTCACGTAATCCTGAATCAAATCCGATATCCATGCTTCGTTTCATAACATACAGTAGTTTATGTATCGTACTTGCGAAATATTCGATTTTCACAAGCTGCTTTTCCAAAGAAGAAGCCAGAATGACGAACTGTTCTGAACATCTACTTATATCGAGTCCGATATTCGAACGAATCGAGCCCTTTACTAATCGGATCGCGAGAGCCAAGTTCCATCATCGTACAAAATTGGTAAGTTTCGAGAAAAAGTTTTAATCCTGAAGATCAGCTACGTTCCGTAGAACAATTTCGAGCCAATCAAACTCAATCGAACTCTCATGGACAACGATCGTGATCGGTTAGATGAAACAGAATGTTCATTGTTCCGACAAGTATTTAAAATCTTGAATATTGCAAAATCAGCTTTCTATTGATGTTTCACAAAAAAAAAGAAAAAGAAGATTGAAACGAAACCGAAGCTAAAAGCTTCTAAATAATCTACATAATGATAAACGATATAAACTTATTGCGATCTATTTGTACCCATCATTAATGGCGAGTCTTTTTATTCGCGTTGAAAAACAATTTCTCGACAATGGAAAAGTGAATTGTTGAAACGGTCGTCGCTACGCAGGAGCGTGATCATCGGCGTAAAATTTATGCAACAGCACGCGCGCAGTATTCTACGAGCTACTCTTTTCGAATGAAAATATTATCAGTGCCGTTATTTCTTCGGCTCATTTTCCCACTACAAACTGGGTTACGAACACGCGCTTGTCCAACGAAACGTAAAAACTCACATCGATTTCGGAAGCTCCTCGTGGCAAATCAAAAGTTGACTGTAATTAGAAAACGTAGGAAGCCTATAAAGCACTAACAGTATCGTGCTGTTCTATTAATGAAAATTACGTTGACGAGTTGAGGATTATAATAGCGTAAGTCGGTTTGTTGGTATTCTTCGTTAAAAATAACATTTTGTGTTTGTTATTATAAAGAGTTCAATATCTTTTTAAGATTATGAAAATATACCTCGAATGAGGGTGCAGTTATAACTTAGAATCGGTTGACCATGAGACTATGATTATATATAATATTTTTAGCAGTCAAATTTCATTTAATTTGTTTTTTAAGGACTAACTTATTCTCAGAATGTTTTGTTACAAAATTCGTTTAGGGAATTGTTTCGGTTACCTAAATAATTTGTCAAGGCTCGTTTCTGTTATGAGACGCTAAACATTATTTTCTTCATGATGCTCACGCGTTTCTACTCGTCAACGGGCAGCTAGCTCGTAAATCCAAATCGAATTCCAAATGTACTTACCCATGATCCTCTCCTTGACCCACTGATCAAGTCAGCGGTTGATTTCGATATAAGTGCAGGCTTTCAGATAGTTTACCCTCGTCGAACGCACTTTCCATGGGGAAGGTGATACTTTGCCTCAAAGGCGACCTGGTTGCGAAAACTGCGACACGGAGGAGCCAACGATCCCGGTGATATTACTATGGAAACGACATGATGTCGATGAATACGACAGCGTACGTGATACTATGCTTGTTTCACCCCATTTACATAATATAATTCGTTATATGACGAAAAAAGAATATTGAAAATCTGTTGTTCGCTTTTACGTTGCCGCGTCTAATTGCTCGCACAAAAGCATAAATCGATAGCGCGAACCTCCTCTGGGTGATTACACGTTGACCGCCGCGTGTTATGTACAAGATGTAGTTATAACCCGCTCATTATGATCACTTTGGTACTTGCAATTTTTGACAAGAATAACCGGCTGTCAATATTAAACAGAGGATAACAAATTTTTGTCATTGAACTCAATTTATTACAAACGATTATAACGTTTTTACGACTTATATTTATCACAAACTGTACAATTAACACACGTTTATGCTACATTTCCTAGCTTTCTTTCTTCTCGAAAACGATATAAAACTTATTTGAAAAACTTATCAAGCCTCGGCTGTTGTTTGTTTGCGTTTATTAGCTGCTGAATATAATTCTCACAGTCGTAATGCTTCTCGAACTTTGTCGCTCTATATCGCACGCTACGACGAACAATTCGTAGAGCTTCTTGCATTTGGGCATTAGTCGCTGAAACTTCTGAAGTTTCTTCCTCCCTAAATAGGTTAGATTCATTATCTTCTGATAATTCGCGCTCCTGTGAAAGATAAAGGGATGCTCCGGTCAAAATACGTCTCGAAAAGAAGGTTCAATTAATACAAATTTGTTAAGAATTCGTATCGTTTGTCCCCCGAGTTGCAACGCATTGAAATATACTACGACATAACATTTCATTTTTGTAAAATATTCTATCGCACCTACTTGCGCCCTTTTTCTCGACAATGTTATCTCATTTGTTCATATCGTCAAAAATTCGTTGGCCCACGACATTCATCTTACTTTAACCACTCTACAAAAGATAATACGATCACTGTGGCTATATGACCGTTTCAGTCTGCTTTCGCCTATGAATTCACAATCGCAAAAACGTTCGCCGCGGCTAAACTTCATTATTTCGTCTATAGGTCGGTGCCTCGAGAAAGATGCTGGCACGTTCGCCAGTGTCCGTTCGGTTAATGTCTGTTAATATTTAGCATGTACGCGTTAGGTTCCACACAGCGTTCGAGTGCCTCGTAATAGAGCAATTGCACAATTTACGCAGCCTTTTAGTGGAATCATTGAAAGCCAGTTCCAACCGCTTATCAAAGATGAACAGGACTGGGATAAATCGACGGAAGACGGCGAACGTTCTTTGTGAGCGCGATGCTTCTACGTTTATTTCCAACTAAATCACTTTACGGAGTAACGAGCATGTTGGATGAGTAGTTTCGTTGTAACATCTTTAACCACTTCGTCGACAGCCACTCACAGTATTATATATATTACTTTTTGAAATTTCGTTAGCATTATAACGTGACACGACTGGCACCATTACACTGACAAAATCGAAAAGCAATCGAGTGTTTGCAATTATCAAAAACATATAAGTGTTTTTGGTAATATCAGTGTTTGTTAAAAAATACGGTTACCTATGCCAATTCATTTTTGTCATATTACTCCGATTATAATCAATTCAATTTGAGAAAATATCAATGGTCGGTGGTTAAGTACATCCATGAGTCTATCTGTTGAATTCGAAGATAATGTCAAGTTTTAAACAAATAATCAAAGTTCGTTATTCGGTTATTGTTTTTAGCTAGCTACTTCTTCGATTCTCCTGTATTTTACCGATATCCATATCTACTGTTGCCACGGATTGGCTAATACGAGTATATATATTTATGCATATTTATACCGATCTTGGAGCGTGAAAGTGCTTTCTGTTAAAAATCTCGCGTGACGGTGGATGGCGAGAACACGTGACGGTTCGTGAAAATAAAAACAAACGGACGAAACGGCAGTCTGCGAGTTTATTGCAGCTGGGCAAGTTCAATATGCGAGGAAAAATTGGAATATCTTTCTTCCATTTAACACATTGCCATTGTTGCCGTCGTACTTCTTTTCGCGAACAGCCAACCATTGTTTTCTCCTATTGGCAAGCGGATGGAACGGTCGACGAAACGAAAAGTAAAAAAGCTTATACGAAATTTGAATTAAACCATAGATTTTTAACAAAACCGGATTTATCAAACAGACCCTCGCTAATGCATAACGTGGGCTCTAAAGTATGAAGATTATCTGCGAAAAATTCTCTATTGTCGCGTGTTGTATACTCTACTTGCATAAATTGCCTAGCAATCAGCTTAACCTTAACCCCTTAACAGCGCAGTTATGGTTTGAGCTTGATGAACGCGCTTGATGAACGCGCGCTATCCAACCCGTGACTTACGTATTTCGGTTGCGTACGAAAAATTCCAAGTGAAAAATTTTGCACGCTTCTGTCATACTTGTTTTATAGCGTGACAAGAGCATATAGAGTGGTTCATGAAAGTATTTGAACACCCATAGAAACGTTTCTGAATATATAAAAGATTTCCTATGACATACAACATGATACGACTACATATTACGGTCATATTCGTAGTTTACAGGAAATATGAAAATGTGTATAGGAGTGACAAGATTCATTTTTGACAAACGCACGTGTCGTAAAATTGATGAAATATTCAATTAATCGCTGTATTAGTACTAAGACCATCAGAGTGGTTAAAATAACCAACTCGTCATTTTTCAATCCAGAAATATTATTTTATATAGAAATTATCAAAAACTCGAATGATTTTTGACGATATATTTGAACGAAAGGTTGCTCTCCTTTTGCATTATTTTTCCAATACATCTTCCATTTTGACACAGGTTTATCTTTCCATATTTCATCTACGGTTGTTAACAAAATCTCAATATTTTTAATGAGATCGTCTTCCGCGCTGATCGTGCGCTTAAGGCGATCACTTATACTACATACTAATTTTTTATCAAGCGCATGTTCGCAATAAACTTTCATAAAAATTTTATAATTTTTACATACATCTCTAATTTGCTTAATCATTACACATAATGATCATAATCTCGACAGACTCATTACGGTGCTAACGATATTTCAAAAAGTTCCATATGACACGCGTAATATATCAATCGACGGTAATTGTTCGAATAATTTCATCACAAGCGCCAGAAAAAGAATGCAAAGAGACGTTCTGATGTTTGGTCTCGCAACTTCGTTACGAGTTAATAAAAGGAAATAAACGGCGACAAGGGTGCTCGTTCGAAGTGCAAGATAATTGCAGGCAGCGTGCATTAACGGTGCAAGCGGCGCGACGTTGCGTTTCTTTGGCACGCGGTTTCGCGAGTCAATAAAGCCACGACCTATTGATCCGAAAGGTCCTCTCTCTCTCTCTCTCTCTCTCTCTCTCTGCCTCTCTCTCTTTCTCTCCTTCTCTGTCTAAGCTGGTTCTATCTCGATGTCGAAGCCGAGTTGGCGCGTAGTACGGTAGGCCGAAGATAGACACACCTTCGGAAGGGTGGCCACTAGAAATCCATGGAAAGCTCGCAAAAGTTCTATCAACCCTCGATCTCGAGACTCCTCGCTCTTGCTTGCCTGCGCTGTAACGTCAGCTGCTGACAACGATTCTTTTGCCGCGGTCGTCGTGCTGCACGCTAATCACTTCGTTACCCAGTGGCCAGATGTTTTAACCACCTTAATTCTACTTACAACCCACCTGTTATTTCGTCCGTTCGTCTCTCTTTCTTCTGCAACTTTCGCGTTACGATTACGAAGGGTCCTTGAACGGCGCGA